TACAAAATAAAAGTAATAATGGGAGAAATATATAAATGGTGGGTTTTATAATATATTAAGGGCTGTTACCTTCTTCCTTATTTAAGGGAGGGCTCTCAGGTTTGTAAAGGTTTGAGAGCTGATCAACGCAATTGTACAGTCTGTTAAGCTAAATAAAGCAGCACTTACTTGTTTTCCGTAGACCTTCAGATATCGATGCGATCTTATCCATCCATCAATTTTTACTTATCGGCGTTTTCGATAAGTTTTAAAGTTGTAGTCACTTTCAGGCATTCAGTTCCAACGTTCTCTACTTGTCTTATTCTCGAACAATAATTTATACTGGTCCCAATCTTTACTTACATTCTACAGCGTTTAATTAATAATTAATAATGGCAAAAATTTGATTAATAGCTATAAATATGAATAATGTGTATCAGAATTTTAATTTATTTTGTATTTAATTTTATTGCGCTATAAAATATCATTTCCGTTTAATTACATTTGTTTTGCGATTAACCTACAAACAAGATTTGCATTCGTTTTTGACACGTTTCCAAGGTTCTACTTTTAAGTGTTTATGTAATCCATGAATATAGTTGTGTTCTTAGAACAATTTTCCGTTTTAATGGAAATGCTTAAAACCATTTATGAATATGAAATAACATTATTGTTTCAAATATTACATTTCATAGTAGATCAAAATACTACTAGTTTCATTATGGTAGAGACATAAAGGTATAAAATAAAACAACAGAAACATTTGATTATAATTGATCATTTTATACGTCGTTTTAAGAATCAGTATTCAAATATGAGTAGTGCTTATTCATATTTCCAAAAATATACTAGTAATAAATTAATAATGATTATTTATCAATAAACCAAAATATTTAGAAAACAAATATGTATTACACGTAACATTTGCGTTTTGACACATGGCCACGTAGAAAAAATTAAAAACAAATAATAAATTTAAAAGGCAATCTTATGATCATATAATAGCTTCAGTTCTTGATGAACTGAAGAAAATAACAGTTATAATGTATAACATAATCTTACCAGATAACACAGACTTTCAAACTCTACTTCTTATAACCTTTTTTCGATAAATAATATAGTTGAAAATGAAAATAACATAACAATATAGTATTTTCATATACCAAATCGACATGCTATATTTTCCAATATCAATATTCATCAGTTTTATATTATTATAATTTATTTTGAATACAATCATAAATTCAACGTAGGAAATTCAAGAAAATAGCAAAAAATTAGTTTTTTTTTTTATAACACTTATATAAAATCATACTATCATTTTAAATGGAATTAAAAATCATATATTTAAAGAAAAATTCAATAAAACAACAAAAATATTGTTCATGTTTTTTAACTAAATAATTTTTATTAATATATCTATTTATAAAGAGTATAAACAAAGTAGCTTCCCGCGTCAGTCCCTATATATGCTTAGATTTTTAAAACTATGCAACAGATTTTGATGTGGGTTTTTTAACTGATAGAGTGATTCAAAAGGAAGGTTTTTTTTAAAAAAAAAAAAAAAGTGAGAAGACTGAAGATTGTATTATTGTACTATGAGTGTGGTGTGTTAGCATAAAAATTAGATTAGATTATTATTATTATTATTTATTGAACTGAGTAAATATTAATTACTTTGTACAAAAATTATAATGTTATGTCTGGAAGACTTCGTCGTTCAAACATAGATCTTAGTACAGTGAATTCCAAAAGAGCACGTTTAGCAAGAGATCAAAAATCGTCAACGGAATGTTAGGCTTGCCTCAGCCAGCTTCGGTATGGATATAGAGTTGAGAGAAAAAAAGAATCCTCAGTAGAGCGTGAGGCTTGTCTCAACCAGGATAGGGATAGACATAGAATACAGAGAGCCAGAGAATCGTCCGCACAAACAGACAACCGAACAGCCACAGATCCGAAAGAGTAAATAAAGAAAATTCTACCAAGAATTACGATTCTTCGATTCCTTACAAGGACGATTGTGTAATATAAATAGGTACCATGTCAGTAGTGTGTGAACATTGATTGACATTGAAATCCAAAGACGGATCGAAAGGTATGTGTTGCTTACAAGTAAAAGTAAAATTAGAAGAAATTCTTCCTCCACTTTACTCTCTCCTTATGGGTGATCATCCAAAATCCAAACAATTCATATGAAATATACACTATTATAATAACGCATTTCAAATTTATCACTTAACTGAGAGCTTGCTACGACTTGATGATCACCAATTTCTACTAATTTATTTTATTGCAAATCCAGATAATACCCATGCGGATCCAGGGCGACTTGCTAGTTGTACCTACATAAAATAAATAATTATGAATAATGTTATGAAATATTTTTACATGTGTGACTTATAAGACTAACGACTGAACACTTTATGTTACTACAATAATTCAAATTAAACTATTTATATTCATAAAATATAGGTGCTAAAAATGTAATTATTAAAAATTATTAAACAATTAAGGCGAATAGTTATTAATTTGCTTTACAATTAAAGTATATTGACATTTTAGTAATATTAAAACATTATTATAGTGAAAAATATAACAAAAATTATAAGTTTTTCTCACTACCGAAAAATGAAAAAAAAATCTCTCATTCCATTAAACCATTAACTATCGAATGCGTATAGTAATTTATAAAAAAATATTATAAATTGAACGTTCATATTAATTTGATTATGTTACATGAAGGTATATTTAAATACAACATGATGACTCCTCGTGGATATGCCTAAATTAATTATTGCTGTAAATTTACAGTTGTGCTACGTAAATTGTGTCAAAACTAATGATTACTAATGATATAGTTTGTACGTTTAAAAGATTTCGCTATTCATTAATATCGGTATTAAAATCAAATTATTAAATTACGCGTGTATATTGATACTACTAATTATTATTAAACAGGAACGGCATTAAATTCGGTTTCATTAAAATTATTCTAATTTTCTATTTAAACCAATTGTCGCTCATTAAAAACGTATTCCTGTAATGCAATTTGCAAACAGGAAATAAATATCTATTTCAACTACGTTATGCTTAAGGTATATTAAAAGAATATTATATTGTTTAAAAAATAATTAATCAATATAAACGAATTATATAACATACGTAAGTGATATATGGTAATTGAATGATCGTATTTATGTAAACGATTACTTTAAAGAAACTTCACATATTTAGGACGTTATTAAAGATCTTACGTGACGATATTAAACGATCTTGTGATTTTTCAATAAAATTGTATTTAAAAAAATCTACAAATATTATTATAGAATTATTGAACGCTTATTATAATATTATAATAATACGCTTATTTTTATATAGTATTTTCAACAGACCAAAAATTAAATAATCCGCTTATTTTTCAATATGTCTATTGAACCATATTATAATATAATGGATATATATATATAAATTTATATATATACTAGAGTGATCACTATCTATAATTTTTGATTTTTTTCAGGCCCTTCCTCTTCCCATAAAAAAAGGTTCAATTACTTAAAAAAAAACCAAACACAAAACGTTTCAGACAAATTCATTAATTATAAATCGTATTACTATAATTCTGAAGTTATTAAAATAAAAATTTTTAAAATTATTAATTTATAAATCGTAGTATTTAGTGTTTTTTGATATTTTGGTTATTTTGTTGTAGTTCACTATAAGTTTTATTCCTTTTTGTCCAACATAATTTATACAAAGATAATTTATTACTAAAATATTTTTTAAAATTAATAAAATTTCATTATAATCTTCTCTGTTATCCAAATGTCTTATTTATTTGATATATAAATGAAATATACTTATTAATACTAATAGGTTTGCCAAGAAAGATTTCTTCTAAAATCGCTATCAAGCAATTTTGGGTGCTGGAATGGTTGTTAATATTTTTTTTATTTCTAGATCATTCAGGAAATATTTTATACATTTAATTCATCGATTTTAATAATAACCGATCAATGTCTATGTAAAAAAAAAACTTATATAAATTAATAAAATAAATATCATTAAATTTTATTCGTTGTTTGCTTTTTTCAAGCTTAATTTTTATTTTATCAATATAGTAACTGCTCCAATCTAAAATGATGGAGTATCTTCCGAGTGATGAAGCCGGAAAATTCATCTAGTTATAAATAATAAACATAATTTTAACCAATAAAGTAACTACAATGCATTTTTTTAAATTCTATATAATTTAATAACAATGAAACTACGTTTAAGGGCCAAAAAATTAAAGAATCAGGACGAAACCCTGTAATATTGAATTTTAAATGAAATTAACCTATACGTTGTTCAGCCCATATTACGACACTGACTGACTTATTATTGTTATTATTATTATTATTTTTTTTTTTTAATTATGGTTGACGATACGATCTATACAATTAACATATTACATATCGTATCGACCGGTACAACAGCTGCGGCGTCTATTTAATAACTCACTGTTTTTTGCGCAAATATCACAGAGTGATAATGTGAACCCGGCGACAGTCCAGGACGATGTTTATAATTTTTTTTAAATTTCTTTTTTTTTTTGGATTTCGTCCGACCGGGTCATACAAAGTCAAGAAGTTGGCCGTACATCACACATATTATATTGTACGAGCTATGTGCTCCCACTTGACGATTACATTATTTATTTTTTTTTTCCCTTCCAAAGCTAATCGTGCAATACGACATACCAGCGGGCTGTGGCGAACATAATTTATTCCATCGGCTCGTTAATTACGATGTCGATAAGATTTTTGATTTCCAGTACTCGTACGTTCACCACGCAGTGTCTAAACGACTAAGAACGATAGTTTTCAATTATATATTTTCCGCGAAGAAATTATGTAATTGAATTATTTGTCGTGATAAATTAACGTCTGCTTTTCACACAACTTTCTCTAAATTATGAAACGTCACAAGTCACACAAGTATTCGTCACTGATTACCATGGACCTATGCACGGTTTTCAGAAGACTCTCGTCGGCGGCGTACGGTCGGTCGACGCCCAACTGGAACAACAAGGAGCGGAAAGGGTCGGCGGTGCTGCTGGACGCGCTGATCATCAACAAGAGCCAATCGGCCGCGGTGGTCATGTCGGACACAGGACAGGTGGCCACGATCGTCGTGCAGCAGCCATCCCTGTCGGCCAACTCACCGGACCAGGGCCACGAAGGCTGCCAGACCGCGCCCGTCGAACTGCCGATTGACTTCAACCGGTGGCCGGACTTCGCCAACAGTCTCAGCTCACAACAGTACCACGACTTTCAGATGAAGTAAGTACAAAACACACATAATATACTTACGCACTTTTCCGTATTGACTACTCAAATCGTTTTGGATTAATGTAAACAGAAATCAATCATGATATTCGATAAACACAAAACCGATTTTTTTTTTTTTTTTAAACCATTCTAAATAGCAAATATTTCACTTAACATTAATTTCTCAGTAATTATATTTTTACTATTTGATTTGAATTTAAATAATTAAGTAGAAGATAAGACCATAAAAATTAATTGGTAATATAAAAGAAAAGTAGTAGTTAGTACTAGAAAATGTGATCTAGAATGTTATGAAAAAACGGACGTGTGTTTCTCCTCCCTCCCTCATCATACTGAAAAGACACGTACCCAGTTTTGTAATACTGAAATTGCTTTATTTTAATAATTTTTTATGTTCTCTTTCTCTTTTTCTCACTCTGATGATTTATCGTGACATGAAAAACAACCGTCATCTAGAACTAACGGATACGGCTATGTAGTACCCATATAGCAGAAGTATTCAAACTTTTTCGTCCTACGGTGTCAATCACAATATTTTGACAGCTCCCAAATTAGTAACGACAAAAAAACAATGGTTATACTTTGTAGGTATGTAAATGATTATAATGTATTAATATGTATTTATTGAATACACGGTTATATAAAACAGTTATCAAATAAATAGGTTACATAGAAAAAATTTAATTCAATATTGTATGTTTCATAATATGTTCAAATGATGGTTCAAGTTTAGAAATAATTATTCTCATCTCTGTTCACATCAACGTTCACTTTTGATCGATACTTTGCTTTAATAACAGCCAACACTGAAAATTTGGTGTCACATAGAAATACAAATAGGTATTATATTTTTGTTATACCTTTTTTGGCCAATTCTGGATACTGTAGTATTACATGTATTCAAAATTAGATTAACGGCAATGGTATGAACATAATCTTCATTGTGGAATCTAACATTATATCAATCCAATATTCTTGTTCAATTAATTGCAAATTTATTGAAAGATTAGCACTAATACAGGTGATAATGATAATAACCTAAGTCTTAAGAAATAATTATTTTAATGGTCACGTGTGTTTTGTTATCGCTTCAATAATAAAACAAATGATTATAAACTATATTTATTATATTTATACATATATTGATTATTTTACATTAATTTTAGTTTCCGGTTCTCCTTTCTCCCACTCCAGTTACGGCCCTAGGATCCATGACACACAGTTCGAATACCTTTGGAATATAGTATTTAGGACTGATAATTTTGACAGAATTAATGTCGGTTCGATATTCGACTAAAATAATATCTCAGCCTGTCCACGTGTTCTCGTCATCTGCAAATCAATTAATCCCTTCCGTTGCGGGTGGCAAATATAGTTGGGTGAAAAAGGACCAATCGTGGGTTTTATGTCATTGAAACGGTTTAGAGCTTTTTGAACTACAAATAAAACAATTTCAAAAACCAGCTGCAGATTTATTGTTTTTTACGATTCGTGAATTTCATTGTTTTTTTACGATACCCATTGGATTATCTCTTCAAAGAATTTAAATGAAAAACAAATATTTCCACTGTCCTTTCTACTTCAAGCCATTTGTGTGAAATTATGATTATCAGATATCATGGAAACGGCCATATGAATAATGCATATAATTTTTGATTTTACATTAAAATACAAAGAAAAAATTCAATAAAACGCTGTGCATCGTCAATTAATCTGTTTGAAAAATAGATTTTATATTTTAAATTTCTATATGAATAATGAATCATGTCCTTTTGTTTTATTTTAATTAACAATACGATTTAATTATATATATTTTTTTTTAGTATTTTGAAATATACAGCTGCCTTAACTCAACCACTCTTTAACAAAAACTTTTTCTTATGATATTAAATTAAACTTTTAGTGTAATATTTTATCACAAACATGGGGTAAATTTTTTTGAACTGATATTGAAACAAATCAATTAAATTTAAATAGACCAAAATTATATTATTATTGACTTCAAAAGATACATTTACTTATAAATATTATTAAAAAGATGATTTATTATAATTCTTTCATTTTCCATTTTGAAAAAAAAATCTACTTATAATTATTTAGTAATATTAATTTCAAATTTATAAAAATAAAAAAAACAATATTTTGTAACCTTATAATTTTCGTTTGTTTGATTTCTTGATAATACGAGTATGTAAGCCATTTAATAATAATACATTTGGTATCGAATTTATTATTACTCATTATGATTTAGTTAAAAAAATAAGTAGTTGTTTTAATAAAATATTAAAATCCGTATTATACTCTTAGATAATTCGGTAGCATGTTATATAATACTATATACTAAAGTCTTAACTTCTAAATAAATAAGTCAGAAGTTAGATTTGTTTGTGATATGTAATTGAACGTTGGCGTTGAGAACTCCCATATAGAACATTTTGACTATTTCACTTAATTGTTCCTTTGTTTCCTATTTTCATTTATATTTAATACTGTTTGAAAATGATTATCCCTCATTAAATTTTATAAGTTGTATTGCTTTTAAGATCCCACGCTGTGACATATTAGGTATATTCTAAGAATTTGTTTTAGCAAAAACTTATTAACTTTTTATTTCCAGCTTTTCCTTTTACGTTTTTATAAAATTCTTTACAAATTATTTTTATGAACATAAAGTAACAATAGTATTTCTCATGGACAACCACATCATAGTACACTGCATAATAATTAATCTGTATATTATTTTATAATATCTACATTTTTACACTTTCCAGTTCAATATCAATGATGTTTTGAATGTGACAGAAAACTCTCACTTTTTCCATTTAAAACCAATTTCTATTAAATTTATTATTTAATTCAATTAATTTAACATCGATATTATCTATTAAACTAATATTGTGAAATTTAATTACTTTATATTATCTTTTAACGTTTCAATTATTAATCAATTTATCAATAGACACTTTCGATACATACCTAATTATATGTTCGATATTAGGTCTCAGTTCATGCTCAATAATTTCATTGATTTTTGTAGATACTCTCTAGTAAGCATTATTATTGTTTCTTTTTTAAAAATGTCTATTGTAGTTATAAAATATTCTGTTTGTCTGGATAATGTGAATTTCAAAACTCCTGTAACAAAAAAAAATAAAATAAAATCACATCAAGAAAATAGCAAGATTTATTATCCTAAGACTAAACATAGGGTACCCAAAAGATTCTTTTTTATAAAATCAATTTTCCATTAATCTTATTAATATAAAATTAAAATATATGGTCAAAAATTTAATCATAATTTTCAATTCAAAGTCCAAAATAAAGATAAAATGTTTTATATCAAACTTGATCAATTCAATAATCATTTCAAAAACACAATTATAATATATAGTAAATGAGAGCAATTTTTAATAATACTGCATTGCGTTGAAAAATTTCTTTAGACATTTTTCTTGAGGCGAAAAATTTAGTTCGTCAATTTCTCTACCGATGATTATACATTTATAAACTTATATATATACACTATATACACTTTATAAGTGTCTTTATCGTTAAGATCTGAAAGGAAAAGCACTGTGACTTAAAATACCTTTGTTAGTATATTTCAAAAGTATTCAAAAATATTTAAATATTTTTACTTAAATACACACGATTTTGCATTTTGCATTTTGATTATGCAAATTATTTAACTAGACTAGAATATCTATTTCAATTAAAAATAATAGTTCTAATAACATTTTTTATAAGTAAAACTAATATTACTGATTATTATTTATAATTCAAAAAACTATCTCATACAATTTTATAATGTAAACAAAAATTAGTAAAATAATTCATTATAATCAAATTTAAACTTAGTTCAATATCTTTACATAATTATTGTATTGAAAATATTCTATTGATAAAATCTGTACTTGATTGGTATATTACTTATATACTAGCAATTATTTTTTTTATCTGTAAAAATATAAATTTATCTAGAAATCAACAGAAGTATTTATTTTCTTTTTTTTTTTTTTTTACATAAACATCTATCATATCATGAACTGCTGGTTTTTTAATTGTGCATTTATTTTTATTTTTTTCGTTTTTATTTCATTTTATCAAACTAAACTCTCTATTCATTTAACCTTTAGCGAAGAAAAAAGAATCATTAATCAACTTTTTTTTTACTGCCGTAAAAGGACGAAAGTCTCGTTTCACCCTGTGCGGAATGAAGGGTTTACGTATAACCTATATTTACAAGTTTCCATGTCAAATTTAATAATAGCATCATTTTTACTCGCCATTTTACATGTGTGCATTCTCAGGGGTTTATATATATATCTAATATATAACTCTGCATTTTACGACGTGTCTTTACTCTTTGCTGGATTGAAACTGCGGCTAAGAGCAATGAACTATTTGGTTTTAATGATATCTCCCGTGTTGTGCGTTATGATTTACGACTTGGCAAAAACACGAAATGTCTATAACGTTTTTAATGGTGGCATTAGTAAATTTCTTTATAAACACTATTTCAAAAGTCTTTACAAGGTTTATTTATTATAACATTATATCTACGTATATTTTATTAACACACAATAGACTAGTATTACTATAATCAAGTCAAAGATTTTCATAAATTATAAATGTTGTCCCAAAAACGACGTAATCCATGTTTCTTTTTTAAATCATCATTGTATACTGCGACAATAGCCGAACGAAATACTTAAACTGGAAATTCGCTTGACTTCCTCCACCGTTACACAATTTAACAAACCGATTATTTATTTCTATAATAAAGGATATAACGCATTTTGAGAGCTGTTAATGTCATAAAGACGTCTTCAATATGTGTATCAAATTCAAACAAGTACAACTCTTAAATTACACGGTAGACATTTTTCAACGGACGAAAATAATTGTAGTTGATTTAAATTTATATACTTTTTTGAATTCTTCTATAACACATTTCAATGATGAATATATAATGATCACGTGGAAATCAT